GATCAAACAGACTGCACATGCGCATAACCTGTTTAATTTTAAGAATTTGAACAAACTTAATTCAAGAATAAAGCTCATAATTCAATGGACAAATGTGATAGTAATGTTATGATTTTTAATGTAAGTTAAGGTGCATTTTTAATTTAATTAATTAGTACAGTAATGAAAAATCTATAGTTTTCCCAATGAACGAAACAAAAACTCTTTCGCTTTCGAAACAAAAACTCTTGCCTTGCTGACAAAACCATTGTATTTTCCGAACATGGAGTATCTAAAGTAGTTCTCATGGTAACACGATAATTTTTGTTGCATGCCCATATATGGGCATGCAACTTTCATATAGCTCTAAATTTCGTGCCGAGTGCGTTGTACCGGCGGTGATAAATCACGTGACAAATTCGTAAAATACGACAAATACCGAGTTTTCCCGACGAGCATTTTCATCTGATGTTAGTGATGTGAAAGTTGAAACTTTAAGTGGCAGTCCCGCTAAGAGCGGTCCGATGACTTTGACTTCGGAAAATAGATTTCCTTTATTTTTTGTGTGTTGAAAGGCATTGGTATACAAGTGTCCAAAATAAATTTATTTTTTGAAAATTCTTTTTTATGGCTTTGCTAGACGCCGAAACTCATTTTACCCGTGCAGAGCTATTTTCAAGCAAAATCGAAGGTTGAATTTCGGTAAATTGTAGAGCCGCGCTGTGTCAAAACGCCTGACTATTTCCAAATTTCGACTAGATCAACAAGTTAATAAGATACAATTCAAGTTCCCTGTTCCAAAAAATAAGAGCATTTGAATAAATTGTGAATAAACGACAGCAACTTGACGGCACACCGGTTTTTGCTTCTTGTTTGGTCTACAAAATTACACTAAAATCGAAGCCTGAGATCTCCAAATGGGGACCTAAAATTACGCTGAAATGTGCTTGGCTGTAATGATTTATACTTATTTTCAGAAGATCTGTAGAAAAACCTACGGATATCAATCTGTATTTGGCGCGAGTTAAAATTTTCTGGAGCCCATAATCAATGATTTTTGCATAATTTATAGCTAATTAACATATTTCTTGAGAGGCGCTAAAAGTAAACAATTTCTTTCTGACTAACATATCTCAGATGAAAGAAACTACCACAGCTAGTGAAACCCTTTTTGTAAATATAATCGTAATGTTCTTTTCCTGACACGCTGAGAGAGCTTTGTTTTTGAATGTTATGCCACATTCAGTCTGACCAGATTCATAAATGTCACGAACTTGTATATTTCAAAAATATACCAGAATTCAGAAAGACCGATTATTCTTTCCTTCATTCAGTTGATTGATTTAGTTGATTGATTTAAAAAACTATAAGTATAATAGAACATTCCGCGTGTTTCCATTCCCCCTAGGTCTAGAATTTTTATCAATATGTTCTGTTTTTCTGTGGCGACGGCATAACAAAATACGACACAAAAATCGGATGGTGTATTTAACGGAATGGCGGAATTGACGGAATGGCGGAATTGACGGAATGGCGGAATTGATCATGAATATTTACACTATCATCCATACTTTATTAGTTTGTTTTCAGCAACAGCTATTCGACATAACACTGTCGGATGATTATGGTGATTCGTGCAAGTTTTAAAGTGCAATTACTGTTTGCATTTATGTACAATATACATTTACTGATACGGATTGATTTAATCAGCAAAATGCCAAAATCCCGTGAAGATATTAAGTCTGCATGCAGCTGTGAAAACAAGAACCTTTACAAACCTCTCAACTCCAGAAACAACTTCTGAGTATAACCTCTTGCCCGACATCGTGAAAAAGCTAGCAAGAGTTTCTCAATATCAATGTTGTATTATTCGCTGACTAATACCCACAGATAAACACGTGCATTTATGTGGCGTTCGTTTATATATCGCGATGACGTTACAAATCACGCGACCAAGGCCAAGCCTGACACGCAGGTTTTATATTCGGTCAAACCAAAACTCGAAGTGTTCACTCTTAAACTTAAACTTTAACTTAAACTATTTCTTATTTCTTAACCTTGAAATATTTTTAAAAAAGACTTTGCATAATTTTATCTTTTGGCGATGGTTATTTGAAAATTTAAGCACAACAGTTACATTATGCCTCCCGTAGTCTAGCGCAACCGGGTTTGACATAAAATTATTATGCCTGCAGTTAAAAATAATGCTTTTCCGAATTGTCAAATTCATTTACTAGGTAAATTTCTGCTGTGATGCTTTACTTTTTCTTTGCTACTTTCTATCTTATTTTGATTCTTATAGAGCCTTATATATAGTGTAGACTTAAATATCATGATGTAAAATGTCTTTTGTTTACATGTACATGCGTCGGCTATCATTTAGTTTACTTTGACAATTAAAAACTGACTATTTATTTCAACTCAAATTATTATCGGGCTTGGTCGCGTAATTTCGAAAACGGGTGTAATTTTTGTAGTCTATACTGCGCCCTGTGTAGAACCATGGATAGTGTATCATGGTAGAACAGGAGGAGTTTGGGCAGCTGTCACGTGAATTTCTCGACCAATAAAATCGTGTTTATTCTCATCGTGTTTGAAAAAAATTTTGGGCTTGGACGCAAAAATGCCTAAAAATTGCCACAAAAGCAAGAATAACCACAAACGCAGAAATACCATTCCGTCAATTTGGCATTCCGTCAATTCCGCCATTCCGTCAATTCCGCCATTCCGTCAATTCCACCATTCCGTAAAATACACCATCCGCACAAAAATGTACATTCGCATTTATGACCGACGTATCAGAATGTCATTTATGAAGTTTGAATTGAATTTACTTAACGCGAAATAAATACTAAAATAGGAATTTTCTATGCTGGGTTAGTAAAAGAAAAAGCATAATTTTAATTGTATATAATTTCGATGAATACTATAAAAAAAAATTATACGCATTGTTTATATAAATTAGCTAACATTTTCACATTCATTACGATAGTAGGACGTTTGTTTTAGCCATGTAACAAAATAGACTATAAGCATTCTGATCAGTTATTTAACAAAAATATCGATTTTATAAATAATCGAATTTCAATATTTTTCTTTGAAAAAGTATATTCGTGAGCTCCATAGCTGAGAATAAATTTCAAAAGTTTGTGAATTAAAATTCACAAATTTGATATTTTTGTTAAATAACTGATCACAATGCTTATAGTTTATTTTGTTACATGGCTAAAACAAACGTCGCTACTATCGTAATGAATGTGAAAATGTTAGCTAATTTATACAAACAATGCGTATAATTTTTTTTATAGTATTCATCGAAATTACATAGAATTAAAATTATGCTTTTTCTTTTACAAACCCAGCATTGAAAATTCCTATTTTAGTATTTATTTCGCGTTAAGTAAATTCAATTCAAACTTCATAAATAACATTCTGATATGTCGGTCATAAATGCGAATGTACATTTTTGTGCGTAGTTACTAAAACATGGAACGACCCACAACGATCCACAACGATCCACAACGAACCACAACGATCCACAACGACCCGCAACGACCCCACAACGACCCACAACGACCCCACAACGATCCACAACGACCCACAACGACCCCACAACTACCCCACAACGACCCACGACGATCCACAACGACCCACAACGACCCACAACGACCCCACAACGACCCCACAACGACACACAACGACCCCACAACGATCCACAACGACCCACAACGACCCCAAAATTTCCTTCAGTTGCAATTTTGCATGACAATAAACAATATAAGTTATTGTTTGTGGATACACCACGTATTTTATTATTGCAAAGCTTTCGATCCTAATCCCGATCTTCACGCGAACAGGTGGGATTTAAAACGCGGAGAATAAATGAGCTAGCAAGGGTTAAATGTGAGAGCATCGACACACACAGATAGAGGAATACCTTTGTTCATAACATTCGGGACATGCACCACTGTAGTATAACAAATATATTTACCTTCAGTATAATATGAAAACAATATGAAAAAAAAGCAAAAATAAATGCAAAAATTAAATGAAGCTTGCGCAGACGGCAGAACAACACGAAGACAGACGATGTTCGTAATGACTACAGAATTTCTCACATAGTGCAAAAGAAATTAAAGATCTGTTTTTAACGACTAAAATGTTTGGCCGAAAAATATTGATAACTATTTGGAGTTGTACACACCATACACACTTTTTTCGTCCGACATGTTTAATAATCAACACATGTGATCAAAATTGGCGGGAAATGCAAGACTTCCACTTGCGCATGCACAGATTGTTGTTGGATTGTTGTGAACTTGTGGATCGTTGTGGCTGGTTTTTTGGTCGTCGTGGCTCGTTGTGGGGTCGTAGTGGATCGTTGTGGGGTCGTACTGGGTCGTTGTGGGGTCGTAGTGGGTCGTTGTGGATCGTTGTGGGGTCGTTGTGGATCCTTGTGGGTCGTTGTTGGGTCGTAGTGGGTCGTTGTGGGGTCGTTGTGGATCGTTGTGAGTCGTAGTGGGTCGTTGTGGGGTCGTAGTGGGTCGTGTGGGTCGTTCCATGTTTTAGTAACTACGCATTTTTTTGTCGTATTTTGTTATGCCGTCGCCACAGAAAAACAGAACATATTGATAAAAATTCTAGATCTAGGGGGAACGGAAACACGTGGAATGTTCTATTATACTTACAGTTTTTAAATCAATCAACTAAATCAATCAACTGAATCAAGGAAAGAATAATCGGTCTTTCTGAATTCTGGTATATTTTTGAAATATACAAGTTCGTGACATTTATGAATCTGGTCAGACTGAATGTGGCATAACATTGTTGTATCCAAATGCTGATTGGTCAGCTGAAGTGATTGACATATAAGATTAGGTCACGAGACATTAGATTAGGAGACGCTAAGCCAGAGAGCAAGTATACATGTATAATATAGCAGAGTAAATATTTGTTATAAAAGTTGAATAACGGAGGATATAAAAGTGGCGACGAGGTCCGAAAAACCCTAAATCTATATTATGGATACCGAAGGTCAAGATATCAATGCTGAAAACGCATCATCATCAACAACGTCAAACGCTACAAACGCGACAACAACATCGCAAGTTCCACGCAGTGGTTTACCGCCGTTTCCTCCCTTTAATCCACACCAAGATACAGCAACAGTGGGTCAACGATGGACTAAATGGGTTCGTCGTTTCGAAAACTTGCTTATAAGTCTTCGTGAGTTTGATTCAACCGTTAGGAGAGGTTTATTGTTAACCTATGTAGGCGAGTCAGCCAACGACATTTTCGATATTCTCCCCGACACTGGCACAACTTATCAAGAAGCGATCGATTGTTTCACCCAACACTTCGTGTCACAAGGAAATACAGACATGGCTATATTCGATTTTCGAGAGCTAAAGCAAGGATCCAACGAAACGCTCAACGAATACTACCGTCGACTGAAGACAAAAGCAGTACAATGTAATTTTCACAGCGAGGAAGCCGAGATTAAAACCCAAATTATTCACAAAACCCGCGATTCCCGGTTAAGAAAGAAAGCGCTTCGTGAGACGATGACTCTCAAACAAATTCTCCACTACGGGAATACCTTAGAACGTACAGATGAACAGTCTAAACGCCTCGATAACGCCAGCAAATTCCAAAGCGAAAGTAACGAAACGGTAAATTATAATTACAACGAAAAGAATTCAAAACAACATCGAAAATTTCCAACTTCCGGTGGATCAAATTCCAGATACAGGACGCCCAAGAAGCCTGATTCGCGTTTTCAAGGAAATAAATAGCAGAAAGAAGCTCCAGATAGCGGTCGAAAGTCCCAAACCTGTCATAACTGTGGAGGTAAATTCTCGCACAAAGACGGAATAGAGTCCTGCCCAGCTAGAGGTAAACCTTGCCACCAACTGCAAGAAAATCGGTCATTTTGCAAAATATTGCAGATCTCAATCTAAGGACAGTGGAAATGTCAGACATGTCAACCAAGAGAAAAGTTGTGATTATCTTCAAGACTCGGACGATGAATTTCTTTTTACTGTCAACACAAGCTCGGGTAAACATCCAGAAACGCAAGTACAGATTGGACACACTAAAGTAAACATTCTGATTGATTCCGGAAAGACGACAACCGTGTCAAAGACGACAACCGTGTCAAGTTACAAAAGACCAATGCCCGAATCTTTGCTTATGGAACACCAACACCACTCGAGTTAGCCGAAGAATTTCAAGCTACCATCACCTCAGCATCAGGTACATTCAAAACTGATAAGTTTTATGTAGCACAAAAGAAATCTAAGTGTATTCTTGTATATGAATCATCTTCCTCATTGGGACTTATCATCCTCAACATCAACATCCTCAACCCGGTTCAACAAGATCATGATGTACGTCGCATTATCAACAAACATCCAAAGCTATTTGAAGGAACGGGAAACCTCAAGGGACGTGAAGTGAAGCTCGAAATTGACCCAACAATAACCCCGGTCGCACAAACAAATCGGAAAATTCCACACAGCATGAAAACCAAAGTAAACAAAAAGCTGTAGGAGATGAGAGAAGAAGGGATAATCGAGAAAGTTGAGGGAGCAACGCCTTGGTTATCACCGTTGATAGCCATCCCAAAGAAGAGTGGGGACCTTCGACTAGTGTTAGACATGCGTATACCTAACACAGCACTTGTAAGCTCCTCACAATCCTGCTCCTCACAATCCTGAGAACCAATGGCATCACACTGAAACTACCAAAGTGTTCGTTCGCAGTACCGCAGATAAACGTGTTTGGTCATATCGTGTCCGAGAAAGGGATCAGACCAGATAGCACCAAAGTCGAAGCCATAACAAATACTCCACATCCTACCACAGCATCGGAAGTCAGATCCTTCCTAGGCCTCACCAATTATTGTTCGAGATATATACCCGACTACAGCAGCCTAACCTTCCCACTTCGACAGCTTACAAAGAAGAATGTCACGTTTCACTGGGATCACAGTCACGAGAAAGCATTCCAGTCACTGAAGAATGCCATCACCACTTCACAGGTATTAGCTCATTATAATCTTACTGCGGAAACTAAAGTCGTAGTAGATGCATCGCCATGGGCACTGGGTGCCGTACTTCTCCAGAAACAAGCCGACGACAATTATCGTCCAATCGCGTATGGTAGCAGATCGCTAACAGATGTCGAACAGAAGTATGGTCACATAGAGAAAGAAGGATTAGCAATCGTATTCGGATGTGAACACTTTCACATGTACCTATATGGACGTAGTTTTGAATTGGAGACAGACCACCGACCTTTAGAGCATATCTACAAGGCAAAGCTTCAAAGCAAACCAACATCAGCTAGACTCGAAAGATGGAGACTTCGACTCCAAGAGTACGACTTCCACGTTATCTACCGACCTGGCCCATCCAATCTGGCCATCCTTTGTCCCGACTCCCGAAAGATGGAAACGATGGAAACAAGAGGAGTAACATGGAGGCTCGCGCTGACCGATATGTTCATTACATGACACAAGCACAGACACCGAATGCCATGAAATTAGAAGAAATACAAAGAGAAACATTAGTAGATCCGGAACTCCAGCAGATTAAACAGAACTTGCAAAATAATCAAGTATACAAACTTCCGAAAGCATATAAGCTCATCGCTCATGAGCTCTGCATCACAGATTAAGATATCTTACTTCGGGGTGATCGCATTGTTCTTCCTAACAAGCTGAGACAACAAGCAATTAGCCTTGCACACGAAGATCATGCAGGTATGGTCCGCTGCAAACAACGCTTGCGCTCCAAGCTTTGGTGGCCAGAGATGGACAAGCAGGTTGAAGAACGAATTCGATGCTGTCATCCATGTCAACTTGTCAGTAAGAGCCCGCGACCAGAGCCAATGGAACCAACTAAGCTTCCTAAGAAACCATGGTCGAAGCTAGCCATAGACGTATGTGGACCATTTCCCACTGGAGAACAAGTAGTTGTCCTTACTGACTATTATTCGCGCTGGCCAGAAGTCAAAATCTTAAAATCAGTCACGTCCAAACACATTCCCGACTGGTTACTATCGGTATTTGCAACTCACGGATTTCCAGATGAAATAAAGTGCGACAACGCATCCTATTTTGTTTCTACCGAGTTCAAGGATACATTAACTTCTTGGGGAATAGAACATAAGACGGTGACGGAATATTGGCCGCAAGCCAATGGGCAAGTTGAGAGATTTAATCAAGTTCTCGAGAAACACATCCTAACCGCACAGGCGGAAGGAAAAGCGTGGAAACCCAACATTCCAATCATGCTACTCCACTACCGCAATACTCCTCATAGAATGACCGGGAAGTCAAGACGAAACTTCCTAGTTTTGAACAACAGACAAACGATGAAACTGAAACTCGCAAGAAAGATGAAGAGGAAAAAGAGAAATCGAAGAAATATACCGACAAGAAGCGAAAAGCAAGTCCAAAAAATCTTGAAGTCGGAAATAAAGTACTAGTTACTCAAAAACATCGAAAAAAATTTACGACAAAGTTTCATCCTGATCCAATGGTAATCACCAAAATAAACGGCACGCAGATAGTGTTAAAAGACAAGAATGGCACACAACATCGCAGAAACTCATCGCATGTCAAGTTATACCAGGAAATTCCTGATCCTGAAGAAGAAATCCAGAGTGATCGCAAGCATGACAGACAAACGGAAAGTCGCGAAGAAAACACCGAAGCAACTCAAACAGAAACCAACCAGAGTACTACAGAAGCGGAAATTGTTCTACGTAGATCAACGAGAAATAGAAAACAACCAGACTATCTAAAAGTAGGTTAAGTTAGTCAAGTTTAAAATGCAGACTGTTGACATTTATTTAGTTTTAAAGAACACGGTAATGAAAACCCCGTAATAGTAATTCCAAGAGACTAAGTCTTAGAACGGAACTACAAAGTAAAGAACTACATAGAATTAGAGACTTTAGAAACTTTAAAGGTTGATATTTTCATAACTATAATTAAGGAAGGGATGTTGTATGAAATGATTGACATATAAGATTAGGTCACGAGACATTAGATTAGGAGACGCTAAGCCAGAGAGCAAGTATACATGTATAATATAGCAGAGTAAATATTTGTTATAAAAGTTGAATAACGGAGGATATAAAAAACATTCAAAAACAAAGCTCTCTCAGCGTGTCAGGAAAAGAACATTACGACTATATTTACAAAAAGGGTTTTACTAGCTGTGATAGTTTCTTTCATCTGAGATATGTTAGTCAGAAAGAAATTGTTTACTTTTAGCGCCTCTCGAGAAATATGTTAATTAGCTATAAATTATGCAAAAATCATTAATTATGGGCTCCAGAAAATCTTAACTCGCGCCAAATACAGATTGATACCCGCAGGTTTTTCTTCAGATCGTCTGAAAATAAGTATACATCATTACAGCCAAGCACCTTTCAGCGTAATTTTAGGTCCCCATTTGGAGATCTCAGGCTTCCATTTTAGTGTAATTTTGTAGACCGAACAAGAAGCAAAAACCGGTGTGCTGTCAAGTTGCTGTCGTTTATTCACGATTTATTCAAATGCTCTTTTGGAACAAGGAACCTGAATTGTATCTTAACTTGTTGATCTAGTTGAAATTTGGAAATAGTCAGGCGTTTGGACTCAGCGCGGCTCTGCAATTTACCGAAATTCAACCTTCGATTTTGCTTGAAAATAGCTCTGCAAGGGTAAAATGAGTTTCGGCGTCTAGCGAAGCCATAAAAAGGAATTTTCAAAAAATAAATTTATTTTGGACACTTGTATACCAATGCCTTTCAACACACAAAAAATAAAGGAAATCTATTTTCCGAAGTTAAAGTCATCGGACCGCTCTTAGCGGGACTGCCACTTAAGCATGTAGGACGGCAACACGACGACGACGGCCAAAAAAAATTCCGTCAAATAAATGATTGTAAAGAAAACTTGTCATATATCATAATTCGTATGAATTTAATACAGTATAAGAAGTTGAAAATATTGATTTTATGTTTGGGAAGAGTTCTATACTGAATCCAATTTTATGTTGCACTTGTTACGGCTTGAAATGCCGCCGCAGGCGTTGTATATAATACGTAAAAATCTGTGATTTGCCATTATAAACAGAGCGACGACAACGTCCGAAACTTCTCTGGGATTTTTGTTATTTATTTCTTTTCATTGACGCATTAATTGTATTGGTTGCCGTCGTCGTCGTGTTGTACAGTAGTCCTACATGCTTAAGCTCACTATTATTTGGTCATGGAACTACTCATGTTTAATAGAATACATTTGTTGTAAAACATTGTTTCTTATACCCATGTTGCCCAATGGTGGGTAATCCAAGTGGGAAACACTGTTTCTCAGCCATGTCTTCCAAATATGGTTAAAAAAATGCAGGAAGCTGTATTGTTTCGTACCCATGTTTTCCAAAGATGAATAAATCAGGAAACATTGTTTCTTTGCCATGTTTCTTAAAGGTAGATTCTTAACTATGTCAATCAAGTTTCTTAACGATGTCAACTAGGAAACATCGTGTCATGACCATAACTCCCAAAGGTGGGAGAACAGGTTTAACATTATTTCCTAGTGATGATTGCCCAAGGTTGGTAAAGCAAGAAATAATGCGGTTCCTCAGAAACGTTTCTTGATGGCAGCACAACAGTGTTTTCTAGCCACGTTAATCAGAATTGCATGGAGATAACTAGGAAACATTTTCTCCACACAAAATTCTGAAAATTCTGATCTGGTAAATAATTATTACACTATCCAAAATCCTTCGAGGAAACACCATTTCGTGTCATGTTTACCCAAAGGCGAGAGGATAATGTAAACAGTGTTAGATATCGGCAAGGGATTTCTGCATGCATATATTTCTGTCAAAAAGAAATGCCGTGAACATATACGGTTTCCAATTGAATGAGTATTCTTTTCGAAATTTAAGTTTGAATCAAGACATATTTGTATGGCATAATTGTACAAATTTTACACATTCCTTACCTCCGTAACAGTTGATGTAAAGTCATCTACAAACGTCCAAGCCTCTCTCGCCATTTTGCATCTCGCTTTGTAATCATCACTGGTTAATGTTATTGATTTGTTAAATCTACATACGGTATTATTCATATATCCATCAACACATTTCCACTCTGGTTCTGCTGTAATAAACGTCACTATCATGACAGGGAGTGCACCAACTGCTAATATTGCATAGCCAATAATGCTCAGTAGGTACCATTGATACTGACGAAATATACCAATCTTTATTAAAACATCATCAATCGTAAGAGCCATTGTGTATCTCAGCCTAAAATTGTCTAAAATTTAGAGAAGATTGTTGTACAATTCTATTTCTGGCTACTGGGTCCAGCTCCGCTTCACCGAATAATAAAAAAATCGGTAAGAGTAGTGGTAATTCATCGACGGATTGCTCCTCCGCCGAAGCCTGAGGTTGATAACACAAACTTATGTAAAAGATGAAAATGCATCCGCACCGTGGGTTCATTTCGTTATAATAAGTGGTTAGTTCGTTTTTCCTTTGCAGAAAATCTTCCCTTTTTCTTTCACTTCTTTTGCTTTCCTTAAACCAACGGCGTCGCCATATTGTTTTGCTCGTTATCACATTTCGCATTCGTTTCCCGCGGCATTTATACTTCATAACGTTGATCTGATGTTTTCATATCAACTTTATGACGTCACTCACTTTATTATTATGTAAAAGCTCCATATGATATTATTAGCCAATCAGAAACCATGAATTCTTTTAAATAAATAATAACACAGTTGTACTCAATATTAATTACGATCATGTCTATAGCATAACTATAGTGACTTGCAACAAGAGCCAGAATAACTTTATCACGCTGTGACACGAAATTTAACCTCCAAGTGTTTTGCATCACATAAGGGACGGTAATAAGGTATGTACAACCCCGGGGGCGCGGAGGGTAACCTGATTGGGTGTGGAACTTTTCCCCACACATTTGATGGGGCACAAAATATTTTCACAACCAATTCATGGGGTACGAAGTCTTCAACAAAAACTGATATAGTAATATTAAAAATACTTGACTAGATCAACTGTGGTACTCAAGATATGTCACTCATATAAATTTGTTGTCACTGTTTTGTAAAATATAAATTTACATTTCTACAATATATAAAAAGTACCATAAAGAGTATAATAACCTTTAGTACGCAGGTGTCGAGTTTAATGACAACATACATATATCAACACAATTGATATAACAACACTTGACTGTGATTGAAACGTACACTATCCATAAATCTAAATTTTAAATAAAAATGGATAGTATCCTATACTGATCTTCTTGAGCCAGAGATGTTTTATTTTGTGAAGAAAAAAGTTAAAAAACGGTTGTTGACATCCCTTTTTCTTTCTTTTTCCCTTCATTTTCAAATTCTTCTCTTTGACATCTTGTTTTTTGTTTTTCATTTCAACAAGAAACTCATTAACAATCTTTATCGCGTCTTCCTTCAAAAATAGATTGTCCATCAAGAACTGTACAGTGTCCGAATGGAATCTGGAGTTTAAAACACAATTTATCTCAGTTTTTTCGCTGGTATTTTTTCTTTATCTTTTCCAGTTCAACAAAATCACACTTGTAAGTTGTTAACATTTTCACAGTTTCTTGAGTCCAGATGGTGATTTATTTCTGTTTTTCTTTATCCGACTTTATTTTGTTCTGTTCACTTCGCATTTTTTTATTTTTGCTTAATTTTAATTTAATTTAAGAATTATGAACTCTCCAAAAAGGCTTTTCAGGTCCATTTACAATATACACAGCTAAAACCTAGAATTATAACCATTACATATATTACTTTATTTTTTATCAGTGAAAATGAAGCAATCTGATTGGCTGAGAGCCTTTCAGAGCGGGCCGGTTTTTTGCATCCGGCCCGCTCTGAAACGCAACTGCCCGCTGTGAAATGCAACTGCCCGCTCTGGCTTTCGCGACAAAAACTGAGGAGTGAAACAATTTTTTAAAAGAAAAAATCTGCCAAAAACGTTTGAAAAACATAGCCTAACGATAGTCAGAATACAAAAATGAATTGCATCAAGCCCTAAAGACTTCATACTAAGCACGATGTTCACCAGAATTGACAATATTTTGATAGAAATGCGACTGAAAGTCGGAAAATTATTCGGCATGTATAAAAGTTACGTGGAGAAAACTACATATTTTTTAAATGCTCATGTATTCGGCCACTTAAAAGTGAAAAAATTACAGGTTAGACAGTTATTGTAAAATAAATGTTTTCCCATTTAAAAAAAGTTTTATTTGCAGCAGTGAAAACAAGTCACGAATATATTCTCTACCCATTTGTGTCATACATTCTTCACTGATATAAATATTTTAATATTGTAAACAAAGTAAAGTTTGTGTTTAAATTAAAAACAATTTTTTCAAGCATATTATCGTGAAACGACAAGAAAAAATACAAAAATATAAAAACAACATACCCTTTTCATTGACCTTTTAGTAGAAAAACGTCGATTAAATGAAAACAGATTCATTTTTATATGTTTTTGATCTGATCTGAACATGAACTGGTTGTCAGGAGCAACTGATTTTGTCAAAGCCAAAGCCAAAACGCCAGGCATAAAAGTTTTTATTCCAAAGCTTCTCTTCTATACCATATTCATGAAAAAAGCATGTACATTTTTACTGAAACTATACGTCTTTTTGTGTGTTTCTTGCCAGTTTTCTCGAGTTTTCGTATCGTGTTTTATATCATTAAACTTTTCAAATTTCAATTTTTGTCAGCCTCGCTTTGAAAATACACAACTGCACTGATCTCAAATTAGTTCGCAAGCAACACTGGAATTTTAATCAATTTAATTTTTACATCTGATAAAAAATAAACACGTTATTTACCGGCAGCATCGGTCCGGATGAGAAAAACTGTGCCCTCGGTCTTGAAAACGTCCCTCGCCCTTCGGGCTCGGGCCGTTTTCAAGACCACGGGCACAGTTTTTCTCATCCGGACCTCGCAGCCGGTAAATAACATATATATATATTTAAAACAATTAAGATAATGTTCCTACCAAAGTACCAATAGTCAATAGGATTAAAATAGAATGGGATTATAATGTTTTGAAGTCATCAATATTTTAAGATCTGTCTTAAATTGAATTAATTAAGTTATTTAAATTCCTTATACTGTTTGGTAATGAGTTCCAGATTGAGACTGCTCTATAGGCGACAGTTCGTTGACCAGAGGCAGATCGATACGCCGGAATAACCAGCTTGTCCTTATTTCTAATATTTCTCGAATGGATCGTACTTCGTCTTTGAAGCGTGTCCGTAAGATAACTGGGAGCGAGACCCTTCATACACATATGATCAACTGCCAACCAATTTAACTCTTGGAGTGCAAGGCTGGCGTAATATGATCAAATTTCCTTATTCCGGTTATAATTCCTGCAGCGAAATTTTGTACACTTTGAAGCTTCAAGACATTTTTCTTTGATGTGTTCGATCATACTGATAAGAAATAAAGTAATCTACTTAACACCAACGCATTAATAAATGCACTCCAAAGTCTTTGGCTCAAACAGATATTTGACTCTGTTTGTCGGCCACAAACTTGATATGACAGAAACGGTGTTGGTAATATGCTCATCATAACTAAGAAATGAGTCCATCTACATTCCAAGAGCTTTTGCTGAAGAAACTGGGAACAAATCCTTTCCCATTAATGAAAGATGAAAGTTCTCAGGTATACTTTGTAACATTTGACGAGTTCCAAAAAGCGGTAACTTAATTGGTCTTATCGGGATTGATTAAAAGACTATTATGACAGCACCAAGCAGCAACATTTCCTAGATCTTCAGTAATTTGAAGTGCGGCAGTACTAGCAGAGGCGATTGGGAACAAAAGATTTATATCAAATGTTAATAATAGATTTATATTAAATGTTAATAACTTGGAGTCATCCATGTGGGACTCCATAGAACAATTTTCCGGAACTGACGGTAACTCTTCTATATAGATATTAAAGAGAAGTGGGCCAAGTATGGATCCTTGTGGAACACCATTATTAATCTTACACAAACTGGAATATTTAGATCCAGTCCTAACATACTGCTTCCGATCTGAGAGGTCGGAAGCAGTATGAACCATTGCACTCCAGGCTCACTAAGTCCAAGACCTCGTAATTTACGAATTAGGCGACAATGGGCGATGCTGTGGAATGCCAGTGATAGATCTAAAAGAACCACAAGTGTCACCTAGGCCTTATTTGAGTCCATCGCCTCCAGGCCAAAATCTTATCCGTCATCATGATATTTAATGTCTCGGTTGAATGCAAAGGTTTATTCCCTCTTTGCTGCGCACTTAAACGGTCATTAGTATAATGCTTGAATGCGTACTATAATGCTTGAATGCATACTGTGCACAATCTCTAACAAGCTTTCCAAGCTACTTTTCTTGGCATCTAAAAATTGAATCTCGTTTACTGCCCCCTTCACTTTCCAATTAAAGTTTCACATTGCTATCAGAGTCCAAGAGTTTTGATCTGAGTTCCATCACATACTTGACACCACTAACTTGACATTCACTTTCCAGTTTTTCAATTAGTTTCTGAGAACTTTCTGCTTGTCTCCTGATTTGAAGTTAGACAGAGTATTGCTAAAGCGAACAACATTCATGGCATTTCCATCCTTGCTATCTGGGTCCTTTTTCTTTGCTTCTCACAATCTTTTGTTATTTTCCAACGTACTGGCCGCTGTGAAATTACATACTCTTTAAATTGAATTGGAACCAGTAAATCATATGACAAACTGTACAGCTCTTCCAATGTTTGGTTAAAAAATGCCAGCTGGTCAGTTAAAGGATTTGCAATCAACAAGTCCTTTGCTCACTTTGGCCCTAGCTGTGTAAAAGAAGCAAGTGGTTCTATTAAAAATAAGTATTTAAATATTTAGTGGATGGAAAAAATCTTTTCAACTTTTAATAACAATATCAACTGAGTTTTCCACCAGCATGTTTTGAACTACCAAGCCCGAGCAAACATCCTTCAAAAATCTTTCCATTTCCTTGACGCTGTTTGTAATTTGAACGATTTGGTCCAAGTCATCATAGCATTTATAAAAAAAAAGCCCCAAAATACTTATTAAGATTACATTTATCAAGAAACATTCGCACTTTCTCGCTCTGATTTACCGAGGATATAAATTCATTCTCAGCAACCATCTTGATCTTGAGACTAGTGTGGCAACCACTATAACGCAACTACACGAAGTACGCACGTATAACAACGAAAATGCG